GGGGGTCGCGGCGGGTTCCCGGCGTCTCCCGGCGTTTCGCGGTGGGTTCCCGGCGGATCCCGGCGGGTCCCGGGGGGTCCCGGGGGTCCCGGGCCGGGCGGGCGGAGCAGACGCGGCCGCCGCCGAGCGCAACCGGCACCACCACAAACAATGCCGCTGATTGGCCGCCGCCGCCGCCGCGCCCGCCCCGCCTCCCGACCCCAGTCGCGACGCCCATTGGTGCGGATTGCAGACTGGCGTGAGATATCACCAATCGAATCGCTGCGATCCGTTCTTAGCCCGCCTCCCAGATTTTACTGGCTGTCTCGGCAAAGATTGACGTCTCGCTGCACCAATGGGAACGCGCCGTGCTTCCCCGCGGGGCGCCTTTAATGGGTCCCCGAGTCTGAACATCCGGGTACCGCGAGCGGCGCGCGGTGGCGGCGCGCGACTTCTCCCCCGGCGCGCGAGGGAATTTTGACCCCTCGCAGCCGCCGTACCCGCCCCGGGCCTAGTACCGGCCCTGTTCCGCTTCACGTGGCGCCGGTACGAGGCCTCGCGTGGCTCTGGGGGGAGCTCCCGTCTCCGGTACACCGGGCAGAACCCTCCATATGCCCGACGAGGCGGCAGCGCGCGGGATTCGGCGCCCGCGAGGCCTCATGGCCCGTGCCAGGATCCAAGATGGCGGCCTGAGGGCAGCCCCGGGCCGTGCCAGGATCCAAGATGGCGGGCCCGGCCTCACCTCCCCTCACGGCCGCTCCCGGGGGGTTCGGCACCCTCAGAAACCCCCCCAGATAAAACAAACCCTCCTGGAGGCAGCGAGGAAAATACCGCAGCAGCTTTTATTTACAGGCCCCTGGGGCGGGGGCTGCTATTGCACAGTGCGAGGGGAGGGGGCGGCCCCGAACCCCCCCCATGGCCTCCAAACCCCCCCTCAATGGCCACCAAACCCCCTCAATGGCCACCAAACCCCCCCGGGGGGGCTGGAGATGGGAGGGGGCACAAACCCAGAGCCCCCCCCCCCCCAGCCGCCCCGGGGGGGGGAAAAACCCCCAAACCCCCCCCGGGGCAGAAATGAGGAGGGGGAGCCCCCAGAGCCGGCCCTGCCCGTCCCACCCGCGCTCTCACTCTGTGGGGGGGGTGAATAAATAAATAAAAATATATTAACACTGACATATAAAACCCGTTGTGAGCCTGGGGGTGCCGGGGGTCCCTTTTGCCTCCTGGAGTATTTGAGGGGGGTCCTTTGCCCACCCTGGGGCATTTGAGGGGGGTCCTGGGGGTCCCTTTTGCCTCCTGGAGCCTTTGAGGGGGGTCCTGGGGGTCCTTTTCCCACCCTGGAGTATTTGAGGGGGGTCCTGGGGGTCCCTTCTGCCTCGTGAAGCATTTGAGGGGGGTCCTGGGGGGTCTCTTCTCTCCACCCTGAAGCATTTGAGGGGGGTCCTGGGGGGTCTCTTCTCTCCACCCTGGAGTATTTGAGGGTGGGCTGGGGGTCCCTTGGGGTCCCTTCCCCACCCTGGAGCATTTGAGGGGGGTCCTGGGGTCCCTCCCCCCCCCACCCCGGGGGTCCCCGTCACCCTTCGGGGCTGGCTCCCATCCGATACCGGGGGTCTCTTCTGCCATCCTGGTTCATTTTGGGGGGCTCCCGGGGGGTGGGGGTCAGCACTCGGGGGGCGCCCCGAAGGTGCGGCGGCAGTCGGAGGCTTTGGCGCTGGGGGGCTGCGCCCGCCGCCGCCGCAGCTCGTCCCGGCCCAGCGCCCCCCCGAGCCGCCCCAGCGCCGAGCGGTAACGGCGGTCAAAGGCGGCTGGGGGCACGGCGGGGGTCAGCGCGGAGACCCCCGGGACCCCCCGAGACCCCCGGACCCCCAGAACCCCGTGTGCACCCCTGAACACACCCTGAGCCCCCCATGTCCCCCCGTGTCCCCACCGATGTCCGTGTGCTCCCTGCCCAGCGCCGCCAGCGTCAGGAACAGCAGCTCTCGGTAGATGCTCCTGCAGGAGGAGCCACGGGGGGATTTCGGGGGGATTCTGGGCGGATTTCGGGGTACACCGGGGGGGTCTGGGGTCTGCCCGTACCTGTGCAGGGTGGGGGGGGCTCCGGGGGCCGCCAGGGTCTCCAGGAAGAGCCCGATGGCTTTGTGCACCTCGTTGAGCCCCACGTGGCTCAGCAGCGCCTCCAGGAAGGTCAGCGAGAACGGGGGGGCCGGGGGGCCCCAGGGCTGCAGCCGCGGGGGGATGTTACCTGGGGACCCCGAAACGTGAGCCCACAGTGAGCCCAAAGTGACCCCAGTGTCCCCAAACCCCAGGGGTGTCACCTGGGGGACCCCAAAGTGTGAGCCCACAGTGATCCCACAGTGATCTCAGTGAGCCCAGAGTGAGCCCAGTGTCACCTGGGGACCCCAAAGTGTGAGCCCACAGTGATCCCACAGTGATCTCAGTGAGCCCAGAGTGAGCCCAGTGTCACCTGGGGACCCCAAAGTGTGAGCCCAGAGAGGCCCCAGTGTCACCTGGGGACCCCGAAACGTGAGCCCACAGTGACCCCAGTGAGCCCAGTGAGCCCAAAGTGACCCCAGTGTCCCCAAACCCCAGGGGTGTCACC